TTGGCAATTTCAGCCATGGAAAGATTAACAATCAATGTGTTAAAGTTATCGACCCATTCATGGCTGTCGGACTACATCACCCCTTACATCTGACTACCTAACTCCCCAGTCTACAATCCCCTGATTATTATCTTTGGGATGAAGTTGAATGAGAGACCAACAAAACTTGTAAAACACCAAAGATGAACTGAAGGCAAGTATAACAAGGTGACTGATCAGAAAAGCTACAGAATATTGTGAACTTGTTTGGAGGTTGTGGTTGAAGCCAATAGCAATTTTATTGAATAAATTTACTCTTTTGCATTTCTAGATATTTTTGTGTAATTTTGTCAAATATATCTTTTAAAATGACTTGTTAAAATAAAAGACTATTACACAAAATTGTTTAACAGTCATTTTATACTCGTCACCTGAAGTTTGCATGGTGCATAAAACTTAGTGGTGTGTTTGTACTGAGGGATAATATGTACATTTATTAATATATATGTATACATATATACCCATCTATCTATCTATCTATCTATCCATATATATATATACTAGCAGTAGAGCCCGGCGTTGCCCAGGGATGTAACAGTAAGAGATAGATCAAGTATCGACCATCAAAATAAAATTGACAAAGATTATTGTTTAAGGTTGATGGACACGCATGTCTTAATTAGTTTTATTTTATTTTATTTTATTTTTTTTACGAATTGGTCAAACCCAAACTCAAACAAAAACATTGTTTTCAATCGTTATGAGTTTACCGATTGAATAGAATTCTATTATAAATAATTGTCTTGTAAATGGAATTTTTAAAACATTCTGAATGTAAAAATAAAGAAAAAAGTGTGCAAGACAATAAGAAACACTACCTGCCAAAAAAAAAAGTGAAGTTTTGTTGAAATCGGGTGAAAAATGTAGGAAATCCGATCCCATATATAAATGAACAGACACACATACACACACACACACACACAAACAACCTGGGTTTTATAATAAGTATAACTCGATATGAGTTGTCCCCCTTTCATTCTCACAGCAATGCCTTTTAATCGTGTTTTCAAATTTATTTTGTGCAAAAACAATTGTGCTTTTCCAATTTTTGATACTCTCAGAACCACTGCAAGGTAATTTTACATAGTCCTGTGAAGTTTTGTTGAAATCGGTTGAAAATGTAGGAAATTGATCCAATATAGTACAGACACACACACACACATACACAACTTGGGTTTTTATAATATATATATATATATATATATATATATATATATATATATATATATATGTATTTTTAGGCAGCAACTTTTCATTCATACACGTTACATTAAATAATATAGACAGTGTGAATTTCTTTCTTCGTTCAACGATAATGTTATTAAACTTATCAGACGTTATGAAAAGAGTTTACATAAAATAAGTAGACAACACTTGTCTATATTATTTAATGTATGTGTATATATATATATATATATATATATATATATATCATATACATGACAGGCTAAAAAAGCTTACACCCCTCCACAAGAACTCCATACAGCTAAACTTCTATGTAGAAGATAACATACAAAATTCGCCATACCAAATCCTTGATAATGGCCACAAAAATAGGTGAAAGTGCTTGTAATAATAATGACTACGGACAATTTTTATATTCTTTAACCCCTGAAAAACAGAAAAAATGTTAGAATTGCTGGAAAAACTCAATAAAAGATTAAGTAAATCTTCCTTGCTGACCATTTTCAATGAAAGATGTTTGAAAGAAGAAATGCTGCTACCTAAATATACATTAATACATACATATATATAAATATATATATATATCTACCTACCTATATATATATATATATATATATATATATATATATATATATATATATATGCATATCTATTTACCTACCTACCTACCTATATATATATATATATATATGCATATCTTATTTACCTACTATTATATATATATATATATATATATATATATATATATATAAATCTTTGCATATCTATTTACCTACCTACTATATATATATATATATATATATATATATATATATATATATTTATGCGGAAGCCCAGGGGAATGGAAGGTTAAATAAGGAAGTTTCATGAAGTCGTTATCAAAAACCGTTTTTATCAAAGTAAACAAATTTAAGAGTGAATTGAGGAAATACATTATAAATGAAAGGATTTCAATAAAAAAACAAATTACCTCCCATAAAGTGAAACAAAATATTTTTTCTTTTCTTTTAAAGATTGTCAAATGCCACTAGGAATAAGAAATGGAAATTTCTCACTTTCACCACAAAAAGAAATGTTAATGTCAGAAATTTAGCATTAAAAATTACATCAACGCAGATAGATACAGAGATTGAGACACACACACACACCTGCATATGCACAGAGACACACATACACCCAAATAATTATTTGTCTGTCTCTGAAATTATTGTTAGGTTTTTGTTTTTCCAATGTAAGAAGCACGCAGATCAATTGGTTCGTTTTCAAAATAAAATCTTCATCTGAAATTGAGACTTAAAACTGAGAAAGAAATTATTTTCACATAAAGATGGAATGATTGGGAATAAAATGAAAGAAATATATGAATGAATGCAGACAAAAAAGAAGTAAAAGGGTGGAAGGAAGGAAGAAGCAGAGCAAGGAAAGAAGGAAAGAAAAAAAATGAAAGAATGGAGGAAGAAAAGGAATGAATAAATGAATGAAATAAAAAATGAAGGAAGAAAGAAATAGAGAGAAAAAAGAAAAGAAAGAAAGGAAGAAGAAAGAAAGAAACTTTAATGTTGAAATGATTGGGAAAAAGCAAGGAAAGAATGGAAGTAAGGAAAAAGAAAGAAAGAAAGAAAGAACAAAAGAAAGAAAGAGAGGAAGAAAAGAAATTAATACATGAATGATGTAAGGAAGGAAAGGAAGGAAGGAAAAGGAAGGAAGGAAAGGAAAAAGGGAAGGAAGGAAGGAAGGAAGGAAGGAAGGAAGGAAGGAAGGAAGAAAGAAAGGAAGGAAGGAAAGAAAGGAAGGAAGGAAGGAAGGAAGGAAGGAAGGAAGGAAGGAAGGAAGGGAAGGAAGGAAGGAAGGAAAGGAAGGGAAGGAAGGAAGGGAAGGAAGGCAGGAAGGAAGGAAGGAAGGAAAGGAAGGAAGGAATGGAGACAGTAAAAAAGAAGGGAAGATAAAGAAAGAAAGAAACTAACATTGCAATGGTTTGGAAAGATGCATGGAAAAAAAGGAAGGAAGGAAGAAAGGGTTGAAGAAAAAGACAAATATATGAATAAAGTAAGGAAAGAAGATAGGAAGGAGGGAATGGAAAGAGGAAAAAAGAAAATAAATACAGAAAAAAAGAAAGAAACTTTAAAATTGAAATGCTTAGGAAAAATGCAAGGAAAGAAGGAAAAGAAAGATATAAGGAAAAAAAAAAGAAAAATAAGAAAGACAGAAAGAGAAAGAGAAAGAAAGGAAGGAAGGAACAAAGAAAGGAGGATGAGAAGGAGGAGGGACGAGAAAAAGAAAGGGAGGAAAAATGACAGCAGGAATAAAGAATTGAATGAAAGAATGAAAAAGAAAGAGCAAAAGATGCGAGTGAAAAAGGAAGGAGGGAAAGATGGAAGTTAGAAAGAAATAAAGGGAAGAAAGAAAAGAAGAAAGGAATAAAGAAAGCAAGGATGGAAAGAAAGAAGAAAGAAAGCAAGGAAGGAAAGAAAGAAAGAAAGAAAGAAAGAAAAGAAAGAAAGAAAGAAAGAAAGAAAGAAAGGAATGATGGAAAGAATGAAGACCAGAAGAAAATAAGAAAAGAAAGAAGGACGTGAAGAGGGAAATAAGGAAAGAAAGAAAGAAAGAAATGCTGTATCCAAATTTCTGGCAGAGTGAATTGTGTCATGACATTCTTTTTCTCTTAGATGTTGCTCAACTGACCCTAATATATTTTGCAGTCAGCAAAATCAAAAACAGACAACACACATACATATAAAATGGCAACAATTTACCCATCTTATATATATTTTTATTACTTCAAATATTATTTTTAGTGGATACCTGTATTTAAGTAGATGCTTGGTTTATTTTAAACAGCATTTATTTTGTTTATTGGCCTTTATGCTCAAGAAAACTTAATAAAGAGAATATAGTCCCCAGCAGGATTCAAACCAGCACATCTAAACTACACTTAAAAAACCCACCATATTGGTTAGTATGTGAAAATAGAAAAAGAAGCTAAAAAGGAAAGAGTAAAAAATGAAAAGAGAAAATAAAAGGAAAAAAGAAGATGGAAGAAAAGAAGGAAGAAAGAAAGTACAGAAAGAGAGAGTAAAAGGTAAGCAAAAAAGAAAAAAAAGAAGAGGAAAACGTAGATAAAACAGAAAAAAATTAGAAATGGAAAGATAGAAGAAAGAAGGAGATTAAAAAGAAATAGAAAAGACTTATAATGGCAATGAAACTCAAAGAAAAAGAAAGAGATTATAAAACAGATAGTATCAATTAAAAAAGAGAACACAGATAGAATGAAAGAAAAGAACAAGAATAAAACTAAGAGAGAGAGAGAGAGAGAGAGAGAGAGAGAAAAAAGAAACCTGTTCAGCATCAAAGATGGTAAATGATATTTGATTGCTTCCTATTCTTATCTGAGTCATTTAAATAATTAATTGTTCAGCCTGCCCAACAGACACCTGCCTTGGCTGAGCAACATTTTTATACATTAATTAGTGCCCATTTAAATGAACCACAAATAATGAAGCCAAGAAAAGATATTCCCAATGACACTTATAACTTTCTTATCATTTGCTAAAAAGCTTTCATCAATTTGCATATATATACATACATACACACACACACACATATATATATATATATATATATATATATATATATATATATTAAGACAAGTCTGTTATGCTTAAGAAAAACATGGAAATTAATTTAATGCATTTAAAGGTGAGTAGATTTTTCTAAAGAAAGTGCTCAATATAAAGATAGAGCAATAATCGACACGATAGGGAAAAGTTCAAATGACT